GGAGTACTACATTCAACCAACACCAGGGAAGGCAGTTTTTGTCAGAGCCCTTGTTATTCTTAATTTTGACATTCATTTTCATTTTTACACCAGACATATATATCGGTTCAAAATATCGGTTATCGGTCTACTTGATCTGTAATAATCGGTATCGGCATCGGCCTTGAAAAACACATATCGGTCGACCCCTAATACAATATATAGGGATTAGTCTCCCTATCCCCTATATAGTGCAATCAACTACCATACAATATATAGGGATTATTGAATAAGTGAATGAGCGAGCGATTTCGGACACAGCTGAAGCCTGCTATATTTTTTTAGTAACCATCAGGCTGTTTTTGACTCTCAAAGTTTTGAATGTTTTCGCCGAACAGTCAGAGGAAAGCTTTAGCTGTATCCCTTCTAACCTTAACCGCCTTAGTGCTTTATGAGGCCCAGCACTAATTACTAATACTAATACATTAACATTGCAACGCTTCAAAATATAAATATAGTTGCATTACATATTTTCAGTGGCCTAACATGTAATCGTTTGTAATTGTTTGGCAGTGTATTCTTTCCAGTACTAGATGGTCGCATTTTCTAAAGGTTTGAGCACAAATGATTAGAAACTACTTAAATTATGATTCATTGTGATTAGGCGAGTTACTTTTTCCAAGTTAAAAGTTATACTAAACAGTAAAGTTTGTCTTACTTCTTGGCCCAACTGACCAGTCAGGGGATCTGGGGAACTTAAGAAGGTTTAAGGGGTACAAAATATTTAGTTTTGATTTGTTTAATCTTGACCTTTAAGTCTTTATTACCTGTAAGTTGTAAATTCTTATGAACACTTATACAAATGGATTTATTTGTGGGTGATATTTCATCCAGATCCAACCACAAATTTCTTTTTAGCGTTGAAACAAAAGCCGACTTATAGACACTTTTTTTCTCAGACAAGGTTCTCTCCACAATTACCCCCAGTCACAAAACAAAGGTGGGAAATGTGAAAGGTTTTATTAGTGTATTATACTTACAAGTAACTTATACACCAATATCCCAACAAAAACACATGATCTTACAAATAAAAACATCCTTAAAAAACTAAAGTAACAATCAAATCTGAAAAGATGACCAGGTGTTTAAATAATGGTTAATGGCTCTCCCAGACTAAACATATTTTCAGAAGTATTTTCAATGGGAAAAGCAGACTTGTATTCAACACTACACTGAATCTGTCTGAAAACATTACGTACACTTCTTTTTTCTCCCGCAATACACTGGCAGCACAATAAACTCATGCTGTTGTTGGATCAGCTCAGAATGGATTCTGTAATTCATATCAACTGAACTCATCTTATTAATGATCAGTATTTTTTTTTGTAATCTAGATAAAGCGTCTGTGAGTGCAAACACTAAACAACAGGAACTGTATCTGCCTGCTCCATTGATGTCCAACACAACACTGTGATGAAACACTAACTCAAGATATATGTGGAAATGTCTTATATTTTGTCATCAGGTGAGATCACTAAAGGTTCCTCCTATTCAATCAGAAGTCTCTCTCTCCTTCTTAATCACAGCCGGCCCGACAAATCAAAACACCCTGTCGAACTCTGATTGGCTGGTGGTGGCAGGGTTTCTGTTCTGATTGGCTGGCTGCTGGGGCATGTGACCTCTCCTGCGTGGCGGTGCCAGGTACTCAAACATGGAGGTGTTGTGTGTGGAGAGCATGTTTTTGAGGTCGGAGGGCATGGGGTCGGACCAGAAGAAGTCGTGGTTGAGAGCATCGTCGCTGTCTATTCTCTGAGCCGGATCCAGAACCAGCAGTCTGTCGATGAGGTCCAGAGCGTACGGGTCTTTCACATAAGCCTTCAGTCTGTCCTTCACCTTACGCTTCTGACCCTTAGGAAGCTCCATCTTCTGATACAGCTCATACTTCTTATCCACACCGGGCCAAACCTGAGACAGCACAGAATACAGACTTATAAATAAGACTTAAATATGAAACATGGATTCAAGTTTTACATTTATGATTTTTGTAGGATTTTATGATATTTAGTATGAATTCCAGTTTCATATTTATGCTTTTTGTTCTGATTTGATAAAATATGCAAAGTAACTTTTTTTTTTATTTAACATTTTTGTACTCATTTTGGTTAAATATAATCAAGTAAATAAAAATGTAATATTTAATTTAATAATTCAATAGTTTTATATTCATGCCTTTTGTACTTATGTTAAATATATGCAAATAAATATTTAAAAAGCCAACACGGATTTAAGTTCTATATTTATGATTTTACTCTTTTATTTATTTATTTTTTTGTTAAATATATGCATGGCTATGCACAAATTCACATGAATATTGTTAAATATATGCATGAATATACATGAATTCAAGTTTCATATTTATGCTTTTTGTACTCATTTTGTGAAATATGCTAACAGATAAATGTAAAAATTAGCATGGGCTTAAGCTTAATATTTGTTTTTGTATTAATTTCATGATAAATTTAAGCAAAAAAAAAAAAATGTATAAAATAAAATACCAATCCAGTTTCATATTTTTACTTTTTGTAGTTATTTTTTAAAAAATACAAACAAATAAAGAAAAAAATACTAGCATGTATTTGTATAATAATTAATTTTTAAGCTCTTCCTTATATTAATTTGAAAAAAAACGGATCAGAAGTGGAACTTTAGACACATTTGAACATGCAAATATTTAAAACATCATTTTGTGATCTGACCACCCAAAGTAGATGTAAAAACCATGTGTAAAGAGGTCTAAAGTATAGTTCTGTGTGTGTGTTACCTCAGGAGTAACAGAGCCACACAGCTGACTAATGAGGGTGAGCTGGTGCTGTTCTGTGTTGCCCTGCATGATGGGGCTTCTGGTCCACATCTCTGCCATGATACACCCTCCACCCCACAGATCTATGGGAGGCCCGTAGTCTCTCTCACCTAACAAAAAATAAATACTCACAGTGATAAAACAATCATTATATCCCACTACAAGTGTTTAAGATGTGTTTCACTTACCCAGCAGCAGTTCAGGCGGTCGATACCACAGTGTGACGACCCGGTTTGTGTAGCGGTTCCCCTGACTGTTCTTAGCCAAACTAAACGCTCTGGCCAATCCAAAATCAGCCAGCTTCAGAACACCTTCTCTGGTGATCAGAACATTAGCTGCTTTCATGTCTCTGTGGAGGATCTGACACAAACACACAATACTTCAGTCTGGGCCCTTACATCACAGTGACAACCCTGGGCCTGTTTCTTAGCCACATTTACATCAGATAATCTGGGAATATTACCAGGCAAACTGTAAGCGATCACATTGTCTCACCTTGTTTCTGTGTATGTAGTAGAGTCCGTTCAGCAGCATCTGCATCACCTTCTTAATCTCAGCCAGAGTGAATTTAACATTAGCGTTGCTCAGCAGTCCAGCGAGGTCGTGCTCACAGAAATCAAACACTAGATAGATGCTGCCCTTATAACGGTTAAACTGGGTGGCTGGAGAAGAAGAGACGAGAAAAATAAACTGTTATAATAATCCATAATCCTGCAATCAAAAGCAAGACAAAATGTAATTTAACACACTTTCTATTATTTGAAATAGGGTGAGTAACAGGAACTCTAGTCATAGTTACATGGACTCAACACTTTTTGAATAATGAATTTATGTGATTACTATGATTGTTATGATTATTATATGATTATGATTATTAGATGGTTATGTATTATATATGATTATGAGCAAAACAAAAAACAAAGTGTCTTTGACTTTTACAATTTCACTCATTTCGATGACTTTTCTGGGTCTGAAATTCACAATTTTAAAATTCCTTGATATTTCCAGATTGTCTATGACCGTGAGAATGTGGAGATAAGGACATTAATGCTTTTAAAGCCACATTTGCATGTAAAAAAACAGCAGATACACCATGGGAAGATTAAAAGTAAACACGAATTGTGTAGGTCTTCTTCACCTTTTGTCCTGCAGATCTCAATGAGGTTCACCACATTCTCATGTTTGAGCAGCTGTAAGATCTTGATTTCCCTCAGAGCAGTGATGGGAAACTGAGGAGAAGAGCACAAACACATTTAAATGTGTGACATCTGCATTTAAATCAAGAGTCCAATAACTGTATAACTTGATTTCTGTGTAGGATGGATGCTACATGTTCTCACCCCTTCTTTCTCATTCTCCATAAGTACTTTTTTTAAAGCCACCTTCTTCCCCGTCTGTCTGTGTTTGGCCTTGAACACCTCCCTACAGAGAGAAAACACATCAGTGAATCACTCAACCTTATAGGTAATCCAACCAGCAATCACTTTGGTTACTTCTAATCCAAAATAAAGCATAAAGTTTAAAGAAACAGTTCACCCAAAAATGACAATTTGCTTTATATTTACTCAGACTCACAGGTCATCCATCTTCATCAAAATCAGATTTGGAGAAATTTAGTATTACATCACTGATAAAAACATCACAATAATCCACACGACTCCAGTCCATCAGTTATTGTCCTGTGAGGTGAAAAGTTGTGTGTTAACTTGCAGAAAGCAAATCCACTGTGGCCTTTTAACTTTAAACCATCACGTCTGGCCAAAATATGAGTCCATAATCCATAATCTCTTCCTCCATTGGAAAAAGTCCATCCCCTGTTGTCCTCTCACATCAAAATCCACCCACATATGGTGCTTGATCTGTGCATATTTATCTCCTGATTCAGAGACTACTTTTTCACTGGAGACTTAGCCTTAGTCGGTTTTTTAGCAATAGTTTGAAGTTAAATACATCTTAATGATGGATTTGTTAATTACAAACAAGGATATTTTCACTTCACAAGACATTAATTGATGGACTGGAGTCGTGTGAATTACTTGTGGATTATGGTGATGTTTTTATCAGCTGTTTGGACTCTCATTCTGACGGCACCCATTCACTGCAGAGGATCCATTGGTGAGCAAGTGATGGAATGCTATATTTCTCCAAATCTGAAGAAGAAACAAACTATTCCTTTAATGACCCCTATAGACATTATTAGCCACTGTTTTCCTGACAGTGGATTACAACAGTAATAAAGGGATTAAATGTATATTACGGTTTATTTACGTATACAAGCATCAAATAGGATTACTCACCCGAAGGTGCCCTGGCCGATCTTCGCAAGCTTCTCATATTTGGAGAATTCATCACAGAAGGGAAACTCGACCCCATCATAGTATTTAGACATGATGGCGGTCTCTCTGTCCGGCCTAAACACACACAACATACACATTTTGTTTTTAAACACGATGAAGAGCTCTCTTTACCTTCTGCTGTTCTTACACTGAGCTAATTATAATTACAACACTCGTACAGACGCATTTTGGCAAATTTATGTTTTAAATACGACAATATTTAGTCTTTTAAGATGCTGTTTTGGTTGTGTGGGTGATTTCGTGTTCTTCATTCGGCCCCGACAAAGACAAAAACCAAACCCACACCGTTGTTTAAAAGACTAACTATATTTAAACAGTACAAATACGTGCTTGACATGTTAAAGATAAACAAAATCGAGTTTTTAATATTTTAAATGACTGATAAGACATAGAATATTATTAAAATATTCGTACTTATCCCCACCGCCGGAGCTTCCGGTTTTGTCGCGCTGCATCCTTGCTGTTCCTCTGCGGTCCGCAGGACAGATTCAACCGCGCCAAGAAAAACTCTACCGCCACCTGCCGCCCGAAAGATCCAGTTATTACATAAAGCTACTCTACAAATGTTTTTATTTGTAGATTTAAACATATTGTGATAAAACGTATTTTATCCGACAAAACCATACCTAAACTCATATCTCATTAACATAGGATAGAAAAACATTAAACATTATTATATGTAATAAGAATTGATACAATATAGACAAACTTGTTTGAATTTTTATTCATTTTTCATCTGGTATATACAATACATAAGTATTTTTAATAGCACCCTATGGCACTTTAAGACAAGAGCGGTATGATCTTTATTGATCAAAATTAATATTTAGTCACATTATTGTTATAATAATTATCCAATCTTTCATATATCCCAAAACCAAGTTAGCATGTTCAAAAATCCAGGCTGCATTTGAAAATAGCAGCTTGTTTCTAGATTATACACTCTCCTGTCTACTACAGTACATAAAATGCTACAAAAAATTAAATTACATTAAGATTCAAAACATAAGTCATATTTGACACCTCCAGTCCTCTGATGTATATACACGCACACAAAACACATTTTTATTCACTATGAACAGATGTGGGTACCGCAGTGTTGAAATGCTTTGAACATCGTTTTGCATCCACTTGTGAATGCAAACCTTCCCATGCATGTGTTAGAAATTACACATTAATATTACATTAGAGAACAATGTCTTATTTATGGCACAATTATTTCGGTGCAATAAAAAAAATGAAAATAAAAAAAATAACAAACACTGATGAACAGGACTTTCTATTTCATGAATGGAAAGATCCGGTTAAAAACACCAAAACTGTAGTGTAAAATAAAGAAGCTTACACAGAAAATGAACTGAATGCACTTTAAGTACTTCAAATTGAAGTATCCCAATAAAGTAAACAAACAGCTCAAGTAGATTCGGATTTATGTGCTTTTTACATAAACTGATGAACTGGTCCAATGCTCTTCGGGACGTAGAATGAATGGATTCAAGAAGAAAAGATTTCATCCATGATTTGCTGTGAATTTTGCAGTACATCTTCACAGAGTGAACTGCTGAAGGAATAGTTCACCCAAAAATTAAAACTAGCTGACAGTGTACTCGCCCTCGGGCCATCCAAGATGTAGCGGAGTTTGTTTGTTCATTAGATTTGGAGAATCTGTTTAGCATTACATCACTTGCTCAGCAATGGATCCTCAGCAGTGAATGGGTGCCGTCAGAATGACAGTCCAAACAGCTGATAAAAACATCACAATAATCCACAAGTAATCCACACCACTCCAGTCCATCAGTTAACATCGTGTGAAGGAAAAGATGCATGATTATAAGAAACAAATCCACTATTAAGACAATTTAGCTTTAAACCTTTGATTTCAGCTAAAATATGAGTCTATAATATTGCTTTCTGCAGTGAAAAAGTTGTCTCGTCTGAATCAGGTAAAAAACATGCACAGCTCAAGCACCGTTTACTAGCCAAAACAGCCTAAAACAGTACTAAAAAAATGTTGTTTCAAGTTAAAACGCCTTCATGATGAATTTTCTCACAAACATTCAGCTTTTTTCCTCACAAGACGTTAACTGATGGACTGGATTGGTGTATATTACTTGTGGATTATTGTGATTTTATCAGCTGTTTGGACTCTCATTCTGATGGCACCCATTCACTGCAGAGGATCCATTGGTGAATTTCTCTAAATCTGTTCTGATGAAGGAACAAATTCATCTATATCTTAGATGGTCTGAGGGTGAGTAAACTTTAAGCAAATTTTTATTTTTGGGTGAACTACTCCTTTGAGTACTGGGACAGAGGGTTCAGGCACTAGGTGGCGCACTTGCTGTGTTTGGCTGGATGTCTGGCACTGCAGACACATACATATGTCTGTTATGAGTTTAAAGCAGGGTCCAAGTGTTTTAAAGCCCCTCCCACCAGGTGTAAACTACCTGTGATGAGGACGTGTATGTTTACAGCCTCTCGTAGCAGAGCGGCTTTCGCATTTATGCTAGGTTTAACGGGTATGACACATTTGTTTGGGTCTGACAGTACCGAGTCTCTTCCCTGACTGATCCACTGCAGAGCGCTGAGGATGCAGGGAAACACCAGTGTGTCCCTGTGTCTTTCTGCCACCAATGGCAAACCGCCTCCGATCAGAAGCTCCGCCTCTGGCTTCTCCTCCTGGCCATTCAGAACACGCCAGCTCTGCTGGTTGTCCAGGCAACGTGTGAGCATGTTCTCCACAGAAACATTAAAGTTCTGTTGGTCTGAAGGACAGAGTGTGTTATTAAAATGCAGAATGCAAATAAACCTTCTTGTAATGCAGCATTCTAACCAAAATAAAATCTTTTAAGTGATTTATCTGAAACAATCTTCATGTAAAATTATCAAGAATCTCACAAAAACTCAACATAACAGCACGAGGGAGTTCATTCTAATAGTCTGATGTTAATTTTGCTAAGTAAACAACTCAATAATCTAAAAAGCAAAAAATACAAAGGAAACGCTTACAAATATTGGATATAAAAGCACATTTTAAATGAGTTTCCTAAACTATTTTATCAATGTTTCAATATTAAATAAAAAAATTAATTCATAATCATGTAATTCAGTATCGTTTAATTAAACTTGAATTACATTTTTTTTATAAATTCAATCCAAATAAAATGTATTTATTTAATAATATATATATATATATATCGTTGCACTGCTTTTCGGGATAGCCTGATTGTGATATTTTGGCCAATACATCTATAAAGGCAAAATCTAGAAAGCCTTCATCATCGATCTTCATGCTAAAAGTTCAATTCATCCATAAAATGTTGCCTAGTTAGTCAGCACTCTTAAGACATCTTAAAACTGGGATAAAATCACCAAAAATTTGTTCCTGAACCACTCAAAACATCTATCATCACCTCTTATTGATTGACTAGATCTCATATCATCTTGTGCGTCTGGATCTCTTACACAGGACGGTGGCTGGAAGCATCTCTTACCTGCATTACAGGTCGCTATGGCCTCTGTGATGTTTGGACAGAACACGGCAAAATCAAAAAAACAGGGCTATAACAAAGAACAATCGTTAGAATGCTAATAATACAAACAAACATGAGTCTGGTTGGCTTAGTGCAGATTAATATGATTAAAAAGTGTGAAATAACTCACTACGAGCAGTTTGAGCATAGCACCACAGTCTCTCTCTCCTGTAGCGTTGAATAAGAGGACCCTCACCACCGGACCCCTACAAACACAAAGAGCATTAAACACCAACGCTGTCTGCTGATACACACAATTCAAGATCCACTGTTTGGCTCCACTGAATATATTCTCGAGTTTCTACTACATGTCTTTAGATTTGCATTTAAACCTTTCAGTTTTAAAGTTACAAACATAGAAGTATTTTAGAAAACAGATCGTTTTGGTCCTTATTTACATTTGCACAGTTGCATTATGCAGATGCTTTTATCTAAAACAACTTACACAGCATTCAATGTATACATGTATTTTATCAGTTCACAGCTTCCCCGGGAATGGAACCCATGACCCGGCGGTAAAGGGATAGTTCACCCAAAAATGAAAAATTCTGGTATTAATTACTCACCTTCATGTTGTTCCATCTTCTGAAAACAAATTAAGATATTTTTGATGAAATCCGAGAGCTCTCTGACCCTGCATAGACAGCAACACAACTGAAACGTTCAAGGCCCAGAAAGGTAGTAAGGACATCGTTAAAATAGTCCATGTGACATCAGTGATTCAACCGTAATGTTATGAAGCTACGAGAATACTTTATGTGCACAAAGAAAACAAAAATAATGACTTAATTCAACTATTTTTTCTGATGTCACAGACTATTTTACCGATGTCCTTGCTATGTTTCTGTGCCTTGATCGTGGTAGTTTCCTTGCTGTCTATGGGAGGGTCAGAGAGCTCTCAGATTTTATCAAAAATATCTTAAAGGGGTCATATGATGTTGGTAAAAAGAACATTATTTAGTGTATTTGGTGTAATGAAATGTGTCGCGCCGTGTAAACATAAAACCATGTCTGCATTTGTGATCGGAGAAATGACAAACAACAACAAGCGCTACTCTACACTGCTCAAAACTCACGTTTGAATCGTCAGTGGCAAATTCTTTTAATATGAAAACGTACTTACAGGCTGTGAGTCAGAAATGCCAGACTGTCCTTGCAAAGTTGGAACTGCCCAACTTTATAGAAAACAGCCTTCCCAGGATCAAGAACCAGCTCCTCCATAAAATGTGCTGCACACATCTGAATAATTGGGTTGAAGTGTTCTGGAACTGTGTTGTAAATACAACTTAACCACTGATTTCTAGTCGTGTCCTCTTTTGGAAGGCCAAACAAAGTATTTTCGCTTTCGCAACAAAACACACAGCATCTTCACAACATGGCGGCTGCAGCAACAATGAAGTTACGCCTCCTTCCATTTGGGGGGCATTATGCAAATCTTCCCACATCATGACGTAGACGTGGGGGCATGTTTAAATGAGGCGTTTTAGGAGTGCGTGGATGAATCTTAACTTTTATAAAGAATATCTCTTTGGGTTTGAGACTTTAGTCTTTGCAACTTTAGGGATCTTATCTATTCACGAACAGCTTGTAACACTCCAAAGAGAAAGGAAAACTTGAAATCGCATCATATGATCCCTTTAAATTGTGTTCCGAAGATGAACAGAGGTCTTACGGGTTTGGAACGGCCCGAGGGCGAGTAATTAATGGCAGAATTTTTAATTTGGGGTGAACTATCCCTTTAATAACACCATGCTCTACTGTCTGAGTAAAAGAGGAAGGCCTTCTCACCCTGCATTTCTCTCATGTTGTGGTGCGATCTCATTGAACCAGCGGACACAGGCCTGCATGCTGCGTGTGGTATGAGCTCCGTCCAGGAAATACGTCACAGGACCGTGTTTTAGTGTTTGATTGCGCCCAGGCCACTCAGTCTCAGCAAGACCTGTGAAAACATCATATATATATTACCTACAACTGCTAAATGCACTATGACCTTTCCAAGACTGTGATTTAGTAATTTTGTAACCGTAGTGATTAAATATCAGGACAAGTAACCAAAAGGCTGCAAGTTCAAATCTCAAAAGTGGCCATTTTAATTACATATTTGAGAAAGTATTTGTGCATGAAATAGATACATTTTAAAATGCAGCAATAACATCCCTGTCTCTTGCTTGTTGCTGCCTATGTAGGCAGCACACATCAAAGCAGTTCACTAGGTTTCAAAAATGAGCTTTTAATTGGGCTGTATAGTGTGTTTTTCCAGACCTTTTATCATTGCAGGACTGGGCTGGAAGGCTGGAGCTGGACTCACACCACTGAACTCCACTGGAGATGATGATGCGGGATCTGAGGAACAAACAGCTGATTAAAAACACAAACAGAGGTATGTGAACTAACCCACAGTCAGAAACACGCACCTGTGAGGAAGTGTCTCTGCAGCCAGGTGTGTGAGAGCTGTAGAGCCAGAGAAGCGTTACTGCGCTGATGATGACCAGCTAAACCCAACCTGAGCGAACCCTCGCTCTGATACTTCTCCAGATCAGGACACACTGATAACGAACACTGAGAGAGAAACAGAGAACAATGCGAGCAAATTAACTACATTTTGAATTGTGTATTTGAAGTGCATGTTTGTATTTCTCACCCCAATTTCTTCTGCTCTCTCTTGAAGCACCTTCTTCGGCCCATCAGGCTGTTTGACTGTGAATGCAGGAACTCCTGGCTGCAATAAACACATTCACTAAAAATCCTCTTAACATGCAAAGTTTTGAATTCTTTTTCACACAAGAGCCACAAAAATTCACCTTAAAAATCCCTCCTTTCTGCCAGGCAATTTTCTCAATGGTGTCTCCCAGTATGCTGGTGTGATCTATGCCTAAAGAGGAGATGCCACACACCCAGGGACGCCTAGGAAAAACATTTTAATAAATTAAACCTCAATCACCTTTATAGTGAAGCGTATCATTTCTGTCCCATTAGCAGCACCAAATGCAAACACAAAATAATGATTTTCAACAAAAACATCCACCTGGATAGTTGAAAAATCGTAGATATTATACACATCACCTTTAACCGTGTCATTTCATCCCTCGACAACCTTCCCATTATTAATACAGGGTTTGTAGGTTCAGTTTTGTAGTACTTTAATGATTACAAAATATTATCACACTAAACGGAACTCGTATGAAAAATCTTACAGAAGTGATTCAACTTGTATGAATTAGGTCTGTATTTTAGGTCTGAATTAGGCTTGTATGTATTTGTTTCTTACAAACACACAGCTTTTCACTTCAAGACGTTAACTGATGGACTGGAGTCATGTGGATTATTGTGATGTTATTAACAGCAGTTTGGACTCTCATTCTGACACCACCCATTTACTGCAGAGCATCCATTGGTGAGCAAGTGATGTAATGCTAAATTTCTTCAAATCTGTTCTGATGAAGAAACAAACTCATCTACATCTTGGATGGTGAGTAATTGTTCAGCAAATTTTCATTTTTGTGTGAACTATTCCTTTAATGTTTTAGAAAGATTCTGTGTGCAACTAAAGCGAAGGTGTTTTTGAATAAAGACAAGCTGTCATTATTATGTATTCTTGAGCATAAGATCATATAAAATGCAGAGCGAGATGATTTCTTTATTTTCACGACCACTGATTGGTTCATATTGTCAGTCAGGATCATTACTGATAGGATCAAAAAAACTCATGAAGAATGCGATCAATGATTGGCTGATACGAGAGGAATTTGTCACGCTTGAATTATGAAAAGCCAAACGAATGGATATTAAATGGAGTTCACACTAGAATAATGAGGCACAAAGAGAGTATTAGACACGCTACACTGAAGCAGACGGGAGAGAGACAGTAAAAACTCAGATACTCCAGGCTAAATAGTGCTGTGATACCTGATGATATTTGTGCAGTCATACGCTCCACCGATCCCAACCTCAAAGACAGCCAAATCAACCTGCACAGGGGCAGAGACATAGACAGAGAATTTAGGTGAAGGTTAATAATCTTAAGCATTTATAATAAAAGACAATGATCTCGGAGACAAAATAATTAAACTTTGACATTGCTGATAAGATAACAGAGTACTAAAAAACAAGCAGTAGATCACTATCAAATTAGTTGATCTGATATGTAGGTTTCATTACAGGCTCAACTGTTGTAATAAAATGATTACATTTACAGATAATACAGTTCAGTAATGTTGCTCACCTTCTCCTGCAGAAAGATGTGAAAGGCCAAGATGGTGAGAAAGCGGAAATAAGCAGGCATGCTACCACCATGGGCATCCTGAAAAGTTAAACCCAAATGTTATGACAAAGAAAGCCTTTAAAAATCACTCATATCACAGCTGTACATTGCCATTTATGAAGGATACATGGATGCAGATCTTCAAAGAGACATTTTAGGTTCTGGTGTTTGAACAAACGGCACTGTTTCTTTCCTCACATGATTGACATACTGTTGCGATTATGCAATTACATGACCAGACGCCTCACATTTACACTTAACACAATTAACATGGAACAGATGCGAATGTAACAGAGCAGCCAGCAGGAAACATGCACTCCTTTCATAGGAATTAAAGCATTAAAACTCAAGAACCAGATCATTGTTTAAAGCTACCACTTCTTCACAAATGCACAAGTAAATCTTGTAAATTGTGTTTAATTAAATTTTTTCCTTGAAGGTTTCTTGCATTAAAATCATTCGTAAAACTCTATATGCAATTATTGATATGTGGAGGTTAGCTGATCACAATAGTGATTGTGATTTGAATATATTAATATTTGCATGTATTAACATATTTCACACTATCATCATATGTTATGTGTTTAGGATTGTCTCATAACCATCATAATTCATGACTGTGCCATTTTTACCATTCGTTTTCAAAATGTCTGGTCTGGTATATAAACAACTTAGGAAGAAGTTTAAGTAGTGAATGTTAGAGAATGCCTACATTGCGTATTGACTTAAAAACACCATCCGTCTCACCTTTGTCTCCTCCAGTCGACAATACACCTGCCAGAAGTATTTGGTGAAAAGCTCTTTTCCTATTGGCTGCCCGTTGATTCTGATTCGCTCTCTCACTTGCACCAAATGAGGTGAACTAAAGAGAGAATGCAGAAAACAAACAATACACAAATCAAGCTACACAATAAAGATAACACAGTCAATGTTTTGCATTTGAATGTGGATTTTTATTTTAAATTCGACAAATATTCGAAATTCAAAATTTTTTTTGACAGCCCTAATAGTTTTTTAATATACAAAAATATACAAAAGCTAAAGCAATGTGCTTACAGAGATTTGATGTATGCATGCACACTGACATTTATTGATGCATTTAAAAACACTGATATATAAAAATGTAAATTATTTTTACACAATGTTGTCCTAATTCATTAAAAATATCTGATAACAGAAATTGTATAATATCCGCTCACTAAGCTGCCAATTAAATCTCTTAATCAGCCAAGGATGAATGATTATTGGCTGAGACTGATATCAAAATGCACAAATAACATTAATGCAGTTACTGTGATATAAAAGCTCTCCTACAGTCATATAATGATTTTGGTCATACCATTCACTCCAGTCATGAGTATTTTAGTGTTGTGACGCTGATACCTTGAGTCCTGCCCGCTGGAGGAAGCCTCTCATGGCCTGCAGCTGGAGCTCAGGATGACCTCTCTCTCTCTTCACCTGCTCCAGAGCGCTGGCGTTTGTCTGGAGGGTGTTGAGGGTGCAAACCGCATCCTGAAACACATTCATAATGCTACAGGATCTCAAAGATTTCATGCCATCTCAAACACCAGCTCTGGAGCTCACAAAACTCTCATGTTTACATCCAATCCAGATTTACAGCTCGCTATATAAGTGTAATTTTGAGCTGATATTCAGAGAATAGCCAGATGTCCATGTGAAGCTTTAGCCTCTACAAAATGAGGCTTTACTCTTGCTTTACTAACAAAAACTGAACTTCTGAACTCTTTCATAATATTTAGTCAATGTTTAGCCAGAATATCTGGTTAATGTAGTACAATCATATTACAAATGACAACCTAATATGTTTTATTGCTGAATGTTTTGGTTGGTTGGCAAAAGTGATCTGATGAATCATACGAGGCAAAATATAATCGCATATATTGACAATCACTTATTAACAAAATAGAACATGCTTAGTAAAGGCAAATCTAGTCCTGACACCATAACAAATCTGAGGAAATCTCAGAAACAAAATTCTAAAAATCTAAGATATGCAAGTAGTTTAATAAACGTGAATATTAAAATGCTTTCATGTTCTTATTTAAAAAAACTTCTACTATACCATGTACATAATTACATAAAATATAAGCAAAGCATTCAGTAATTGTTATTTTACTGTCTTTTTTGTATTTCCCTTCATGTCCTATATTTCGAATATAAGAGTTAGGTTTAATAAATTCAAAACCTTGACAAATTATCTAGTTTCAAGAAAATCTATATAATCTCCTACATTTTTTTAACCTTAAAGAAATAAATTCTGCATTTTGTCAGTATTCCAAATGTTAACAATTCTACCAATAAATCTTTTGTGACACTGACTAATAATACTTGGTCAGATTTGACATCTACTGTATCAACCATCACCTAATTATCTAATAAACAAACAATAAACAAACATAAGAGATACAAGAAGCTTAATAATGAACAAAACTGGATCTTTCTTGGCCTTTATGAAAGTATGCAGAATATATGGCAAGCTGTTTTCACAGCTATTGCTTAAAATAACTAGTGCCCATTTATGTTAATTATTTTAAAACACTAGTAAACAATCCAATTGGGACATTATTACACGATTATTCATTCAATTCTAGAACTAATTTCTTTGCTATCATCCAAACAGTGACAACTTTCTATTCATTTGTTATTGGTAACAACTTGCGCTTTGTTACCAGTAACAGTTGCTTGTAATTACCTGTGACTAGAAGCAAAGAAAAAAGTTGTATCTCATAAATAAATGCTAATAACACTTTATTAATAGAAAGTTTGCTATAGATAAATGTTATACGGCTTGCCATAAGAATATGTATTGACCTCAATGGAACGCGCTCATTACGCGGAAAAAAATTGCCGCGCTTTGATTTTAAACTCTAACGGTTTATGTAACAACTGTCACTTATGAATCAGCAGCGTGTGCTGAATTTACTGCGTTATTTTAACCGAGCCCAAAAAATAAAACTTCCAGCCAAAAGTCCAAACAAAAGCGCACAAACTCAACAATTATTGTTAATAATTTCCATATATAGAGTACACATAATAACATATGGACGCAGTATGCGTTACCTGGTAGTCCATTCTTCGGAACCGCGGAGCAGCTTTGGTGCTGGAGAGTCTCGCTGACAGCTCGGTGATTTTGGTCCAGTGTCTACACGCGCGCAAACGCCCCAGCACGCGGAACAGGCGCAGCATGGTGACCCAGAGAGAGCAGGAAGCGGCTCCTAATTTGGGGAGTTTTCCTGTCAACACGGAACTCTAGCGTCATGCCACGCCTCCTTCCGGCTCACCGTACAGACTCACTACTGTTTACTATCGCCAGCGCGTTTCTCTGGGTTGCCATGCAGTGCTGCTAAACGCTTCTCTTCTTCTTCTTCCTCTGATGTTTATTGGCGGTTTTGGCAAACCAACTTAAAGGTGCATTACCGCCACCTACTGATCTGGACTGTGGAGTGAACAGATTTGGTAGAGAGAAGGATTATATATTATATTAAAAAAAAACAAAAAAAAAACTTATATTTTATATATATATATACCATAATTACAATTTATATTCTTTCCATATTTCCTGTCCATTTTGTCAGTATTCCAAATGTTAACAATTCTACCAATAAATCTTTTGTGACACTGACTAATAATACTTGGTCAGATTTGACATCTACTGTATCAACCATCACCTAATTATCTAATAAACAAACAATAAACAAACATAAGAGATACAAGAAGCTTAATAATGAACAAAACTGGATCTTTCTTGGCCTTTATGAAAGTATGCAGAATATATGGCAAGCTGTTTTCACAGCTATTGCTTAAAATAACTAGTGCCCATTTATGTTAATTATTTTAAAACACTAGTAAACAATCCAATTGGGACATTATTACACGATTATTCATTCAATTCTAGAACTAATTTCTTTGCTATCATCCAAACAGTGACAACTTTCTATTCATTTGTTATTGGTAACAACTTGCGCTTTGTTACCAGTAACAGTTGCTTGTAATTACCTGTGACTAGAAGCAAAGAAAAAAGTTGTATCTCATAAATAAATGCTAATAACACTTTATTAATAGAAAGTTTGCTATAGATAAATGTTATACGGCTTGCCATAAGAATATGTATTGACCTCAATGGAACGCGCTCATTACGCGGAAAAAAATTGCCGCGCTTTGATTTTAAACTCTAACGGTTTATGTAACAACTGTCACTTATGAATCAGCAGCGTGTGCTGAATTTACTGCGTTATTTTAACCGAGCCCAAAAAATAAAACTTCCAGCCAAAAGTCCAAACAAAAGCGCACAAACTCAACAATTATTGTTAATAATTTCCATATATAGAGTACACATAATAACATATGGACGCAGTATGCGTTACCTGGTAGTCCATTCTTCGGAACCGCGGAGCAGCTTTGGTGCTGGAGAGTCTCGCTGACAGCTCGGTGATTTTGGTCCAGTGTCTACACGCGCGCAAACGCCCCAGCACGCGGAACAGGCGCAGCATGGTGACCCAGAGAGAGCAGGAAGCGGCTCCTAATTTGGGGAGTTTTCCTGCCAACACGGAACTCTAGCGTCATGCCACGCCTCCTTCCGGCTCACCGTACAGACTCACTACTGTTTACTATCGCCAGCGCGTTTCTCTGGGTTGCCATGCAGTGCTGCTAAACGCTTCTCTTCTTCTTCTTCCTCTGATGTTTATTGGCGGTTTTGGCAAACCAACTTAAAGGTGCATTACCGCCACCTACTGATCTGGACTGTGGAGTGAACAGATTTGGTAGAGAGAAGGATTATATATTATATTAAAAAAAACAAAAAAAAAACTTATATTTTATATATATATATACCATAATTACAATTTATATTCTTTCCACATTTCCTGTCTTTTTTAGATAATTTAACACTTCTTCTTTAATTCTTGATTGCATTTGGCTATTCCCTAGTAATATCTTGAGTGATACTTTATCATGTCCCATCAAACCTAATTTATGATTAAGTTTATTTCTTTCTCTTTCATACGCATCGCATTCTAGAAGAATGTGCTTTACTGTTTCTGGATTCCCACATTTATCACATCTTCCATTTTCATGCTTCCCCATTTTGTGTACATTTCAATTTAAAGCTGAATGTCCAATCCTCATTCTTGTTATAATAACATCTTTCTTCCTACTCCCACATCTTATTCTCTCTTCACCTACACACCCCTGTATCTGGTAAAGATGCCTTCCTTTTATTCCACTATCCCACAACTTTTGCCATATCTTTCTTACTTCCTAAACGCTTCTCGTGTGTCATCTGTCTTCAAGAGCCAGCGCACACCTCGTACTGCGCATGCGCGCTCTCACTTATAACGACGCAGCACCGCCACCTACTGGACAGAGCTGGATAGAAAAGCGAGTTTGATTGAGCTCTATAGTTTTGTATGTTTCTTTTTTCCATGTCATTTAATTTCTCATTAGCAATTATACTTTAGGAAATCATCAAAACACGTTAAAACATTCAGACTGGAAGGAAATTTAACTAATTGAATGCTTCATTGCATTTAAAAAAAAAAAACATTTTATTTTTATTTTAAAATGATTTAATTTGTAACATTTTATTTAAAAAAAAAATGTGTTGTGACAAAATTAAATTAACATTTATGTATAATAATATTGACAATCAGGAAGCAAAGTGTAAAATGAAGATTCTCAGCTTTGCTTCTGGAGAGAGGACTGAAAACATGATGTGAAGCAGGAATGAGAAGCTCCTGCAATTTTGCTAAATGGCCAGTAGATGTCGCAAGAAGACCGAGGATGCTCCTCTGATGCCTGAAGACCACATCACGATTGGCTGTCGTAGGCTATTCATCACATAAATAGGCCCTACATGTATTTCCAAAGATTAAAATTAAAATGCGCTTAAAAATATTTGTAACTGTTTGTGAAATTAATTTAGAACGGTTTAATGACATTGTTAATTATTGTGGGTTAATCGACTTCATTGCGAATTGTATTTAAAGCTGCAAAACTGTACTTGTGTTCGAAGAGCCTACATATGATCAAATTTCAACTTCAAATATAGTAAACTGACTTAAAAATATCGTGTTAAATGTCATATAACTTAAAAAAAATAAAGCTGAAATTGGTTAAATTAATTTTGATTAGTTAATGGAATAAAATATTTTGCACGACTTACTGATCATGGCCTATATAATTTTTTAGAGAGCTGAACTATGGTAAAGAGCGACATTACTGTTTTAAGTCTTAATCGGGTTAGTAATAAAAGTTAATTATAAAGCTAATGAAATCTTTTTTCTCACTTTTAATCCACTTATAAACGAGATTCCACATAAAAATATACATGGGGTGGTTACCTTTAGTATCAAGGGGTGTTGTGGCATAGTGGTCAACAGATCAATGCTGGTAAATGGAAGGAAAATATATTCATATAAATGTATAAGGCCATAACAATGGCCTTGTTTAGGGTTTGAATCGCTATTAGGCTTTTTTTTTCTAAGCATCTGTAGGTTATTGTCCTTTAAATAATACAAAACCGAGTGTGGAATGAAGAATCTGTATGATTGATCCAACATAAAAGCTCATTTGAAGGTTCCTGGCTCGATCCCAGAGGTCTTACTCATTGCTATATACAGTGACCCTTGGGTTAATAGAGCAGACGTGCGTTTGCTTACAGTGTAGGACAGCGTCCAGCGCACAGAGAAGGTGACATTCGTGAGAAAGGCCACATATCAGGAGATGATCAAAGTAACTACTAACGACTCCGTATTAAAGTTGTCCAAGCATGTGATGACATTTAGTCCGGTGTGACGAGCCTTTTAGCTTCATTACGTGCTAAATCCATTCCCGTGATGAGATCCTGAATTACTGAAATGGAAAATACGCGAGTTTCAGCTCTGGTTATCTTCTTGGAAGATGCTTGTGCGGTGATAGTGAGCAATTTAGATAATGACCAGTCATTCTGCCGTTTATCCGCACGCAAACAGGGTTTATCTCAGTGAAACATGTGCGTAAAAGGGATTACGAGGAGGCTAGATGTCAAGATTTGGTCAGAGATGTGCAAGAAATGAGAATGCCATGTATTCAGACAGGCAACGAAGGAGATCATTCCAGTTCTAAGGAATGACTCGAAGATGAGAGATCACAAGGACTAGAACACGGTGTCTCTGGCCTCTGGGCTTTTATCCAGATTAGACCCAGATTCCCATTTCAGGTTTTGTTACGTAGAGCCGTTTGGCTTTGGCCTGCAGCCCTTTGACCTCAGAGGGAGAATGGGAAAGGTTTATTTTTTCCTTTAGTTCATTAGTTGGTGATAAGTGTTTAAAATTGAATTTATGTAAATATTTATCCTTTTTAAACTTAAATGTATCCATATAAATGTATAAATCGATTTTAAAAATCCATCGTATCTTTAAATCGGTAGACGCCATTTTGAATTTAACGTGGATGAAAACGAGGCTGCGATTTGCAACAGTCTTACAGTGACATGTGCTGCATAAAGATGTAGTAGTGGTCAAAAATCACAAGTTTCAGAACTGTTTCATGACGTTTTTGTCCACAGAATGTTTTTTCGTTAGTGAACATCGCTTAAATGCGCTGTACTTCATTCCCTCGCAGCCTCGTTTTCATTCCTGTCAGATATGGTGCTACCTTGACTAAATTCTTTAAAGGGGTCATCGGATGCAAAATTCACTTTTGTTGTTGGTTGAACATAAATGTGTGTTTGCAGTGTGTGTACACACCCACCCAATAATGATAAAAATCCACCCAGTGCTTTTTTTAAACTCTCTATTTCATACAACCCTCCCGTTTTTCCCGGGATTCTCCCGTATTTTTAATCTTTCTATTTAAAAAAAAAAAAAATCCCACTGGGCGTATTTTATATGTTTGCTACATTCGCTTCCGGTAAAACTCCCGTAATTTGTATGGGCCAAACCTCATTATATGAATAATCACAACAACAAATTCCAAGGTTATCCAGTTGCCAGATCTTGTATGAAACGCATCTTTCTCACACGATCGACGCATACAAATTGCAACCCATTTGTCCCCTCAACTTGGCAACCTACAGCCCAGTGATGCTATTGATGTGTGCGCAGTTAGTACCGCGGGAAGGAAACAATGATCACTGGTAGAAATGGGAGAAGACTCCAGTGAAAAAAATATAATGAGATAAAGCTTACACTTCAAAAGGCTATTTAAATGATTAAATATGAACACTGCAAGTTTCAAAGTCAGGTGCTGCTTGGTTTACTGCAGTTATGGGGGAAACGGCTATATTCCTGGCGAAAAGCGCCACCTGCTGGCAGAGAATGAATTTGCATTTTTCAATAAGCCCTTCTGCTCTTTCGA